TTTACAACAAAAACCGCATAAAAATTTACAAACATAACATAAAGAATGGAAACACACAAACGAAAAACTATTATAAGAAATACGTTGATGAAAACTAGTATCTAAATACATAATTAGAAACCAAACAATAATTAAGTTTAACTTTGAATAAAGAGAAATAAGAAACAATAAATAAATACTAAAATTAATAAACTCACGATGCTCACAACCTGTTCATTCTGAAAAAGAAAAGAAAAATAATAATGCAAAAATTAAATTTTGACTTTATTGAAATTTTTCGATAAACTTATGCAAGTACAGTGGTTGGAAAAAAGGAAAAACAATGAAAAAAAATAAAAATTAAAAACAGATAGTACAAAATTTTAACTCATAAGTATATAGTGTATGTATTACATACAAATTAAGGTATGTAGAAAAAATTTATAATTTTGTTATTATTTGTATGAGTAAAATCATGCATTATATCGGTTTTGCGAGAGACTAGGAAAATTTTATATGATCCTAAATCACAAAAATTCTCTAATTAACGCATATAAGAATTCAAGAAAAAACTAACAGAATTCTTCACAAATATGAATATTGAAATATAATTTTACACGGTGCGTTCCAAAGAAAACAGGTCTTAAAAAAAAGACAGAACAAATGGTTTTATCGGCAAAATCAATTAATTTTATTCAAAATAGTCTCCTTCTGCTTTAATACAGCTTTTTGCACGGTCCAAAAGCATGTCGGACGATTGTTTTAGCTCATTGCCCGGTATGGCCGCCAGTATGCCGGTGCAAGCCTTTTGAATGGCCTCCACGTCTGCATAACGCTTTCCTTTCATCGGCAAATGCATTTTTCCGAAAAGGTAGAAGTCGCACGGTGCCATATCAGGTGAATACGGGGAGTGGTTGATTGTTAAAATGTGATTTTTGGTCAAATTGGTCGATCGATGAGACGGCGCATTATCGTGCAACAAACGTCAACTTCCATCTTCGCGATATTCGGGCCGAACACGTCGAATACGGTGCACCAAACGAGGTGATAGAATACCGCATTAACGTTTTGGCCGGGTGGAGCAAATTCTTTGTGGAAAATACCCTTGGAATCATAGAAACAAATCAGCATTGTCTTCACTTTTGATTTCTCCAGGCGCGATTTTTTGGGTTTCGGCTCATTTCTCATTTATGTCCTCACGTGGACTCTGCTACGGGATAGGCAATCATCGCCATAAACTTGTTTCATCAATTGAAACTTTTAAGTAAAAGTTTTACCAATTTGAAAACAAAATTTAATGTTGGCTCTTTGTTAGAAGCTCATTTTCGCACCGATGACAAAAACATACTGACACTTAAAATGCAATAAATTCACTTCCAATAGATGAAATGTCATGAAATTTTTATTGGAAGTCGATAAAGGATAGCAGATTCTAACACACTAGTCGACATATGGATGGCGCCACTAGAGTTTACTTTGTTACTTTTTTACTGTTTACTTTGGAACGCACCTTGTATATTATCTCAGAATCTTATTAAATAATAATTTATTTTAAAATTAGAAATTCCAAGCTACTTGACAACTAAATACATGTTAAACGTAATTATTCGTTCATTCATTCATTAATGCTCCGCCAACAAGTTTTTATATCATTGAATATATTTCAACTAAAAGTAAACGATTTTTTAGCAATTATAATGCTATTACCAAAAATAAACACCGTCTTGTCTGTTTTACTTCCTGTAAGGTTGTTTAAAGCGATTATTATAGTATTTAGCAAATAATTACACACAAAGGGGCATTTACATATATTTGTATGTATATGCATATACATAAATACTAAATATGTATTTATATGTAGAAAATGCATAAGCTTTGTAATAATTAACCCTATAACGTTTGTCAAACGTCAACTTATCCTATTATGGACATTGTTAGCGTATTAGTATAAAAGAACATGCATTTTAAAGCATACAAATACTATACCGACAAACTAATTTGTTGAACGTTATATTACTTGTATGTAGACTTGACTGTTAGCCAATAAAATAAAAGCTAACTAAATCAACTGAGTCGCTTATTATTGAAAGCTCATAGGGTTAAATTTTAATTTGATCATACATTAAAATAGCAAAAACAATTCACTCTATTTGTGTCTAAAAGAGCAAATGTGATTATTTAAATCTAATATATAATATATTTATATATGTACATGTGTCTGTAAACATAAACACTTAATATGATTATATATTATTTATGATTGTACTTTTTCCTATAATGTGTATAATCAAAATCGAGCAAATACATTTACATGAATTTATTGAAAACACTCTGAAAAATCAATGACGACCACTTGGGGTTAAAAAGAATAAAAACAGCACGCTAAATAGCATTCGATATTAAAGTATAGCAAGCAAACATGTTCTATTGTAAACACGGACTGAACCCAGTGGGTTACAAATAAAATCGGTATATACATATGTATGTCAACGGTTGATGTAATGCTAAATCAATAAAGTGCTTAATCACGTCTTATTAACGGGCACACTAGCACTCATATGTATGTTTTTTACCACTTTGGCAACAAACGGTTGGAATGAAATTAAAAAGTTCAAAAAATAATCAAACTAAATAAATATCTACTGATATAATTACATTTTTTTCACATACATACATGTGACATACATATGTTACAAAGTGTGGTTTATTGATTGTAATGTGACTTGCTAAATAAAGAAAGAAGTAACCAAACTAAATACCACAATGTCAATGACCAATTTATGAACATTGCCACATTACAAATTCAGATACACATACATAAGTTGATATATGTATCGCAAGGCCGCACGTGAATGTTGTAGCGGACAAAACTTTAGTTTATGTTCGAAAATAAATAAATTTATTTGATGGTTTAATTTTAATAATACATTTTAACAGTATAGTTGACTTTATAGTACTAGGAACAAACTTGTTCTGTTAACGTAATATAAAATACATTTAGAACAAAGGTCTTTCGAATGAAATCATCATCAACAGGCAATATTAAACGAGTATTCATTTATAAGTTATCAATGATTTAAAACTAAAACGAAATAGCGTTGTAAATATAAATGTGTATCCACCTATATACATATATACCCTTCATTGAAATAGTTTTCATAATAAGTTGCAACGTGGCATTTATGAAATAAATGCACATTTTCTTTTTCTATCTTTCCACAATTTAACATCAAATATATAATATATTAATAATACTTCTACGACATATATAATTAACAGTCTTACAGCAAAATACTAATATAAATATTGTTAAATGCGTATTCAAAATTAATTTTCAATTGTTTACACACCTTTTCCGACATGACCATATTGTTGTCCTCGGTACCATAAACTGTCTCAGCACCAGGCTGAGGTCCGTGGTTGTTGAGCATTGTGTCGTCGTCCATTGTGACTTCTAATTATTGTTTATGTTAAGGAAAATTTGCGCGGCACAGTTTAATTGTGATTTCTTAATCCAACTTTTACTTTCTGCATACTTCTTTTTGAAGCGAGTGCCACTATTGAGACGCACGATGACGTGCCACTGCTATATTGCAAGGCGGAAATGAAAGAATATGTGGGCGTGGGAAAGTGGTGTCAAACTTATCCACAATGTGATCTCAAACCAATCCAACAGCTCGCCTCGGCCCCACCACCCACAACGTCGATTTTCCACACTTCACAACTCTTCACAATTACTTTATTCCAAAATCATATATATAGGTATTTATTTTTATGGAAAAAACGTATTTTAATTTTAGTTATCACTTTCCATTTTTTGCTTAACATGTATTGTTAATAGTTTGGAGTTTGCAAATTTTATTTTTTCCTATTGATGAATGAAATTAGGTAGCGCAATATTACGCCTTCCTTTCCTTTTTCCTGATAGTCATTGCATTTTTTTGACTAGATTTATTTCCCTTTTCTCTATCATGACGATCTTCACTTATCACATTTTTATGCTTTCGCTAATATTTTTTTAAAATTATTATGATTTATTGCCTTTACTTGCATTTTTACAAAACTAATTGGATTTTTATGTTGCACTAAATTTGTCTGATACAAATAGCTAGCGTGAAAATTTTTCTAATGGTCTTATGTGTCTGACATTCTTGCATTATTTCTTTTTATTTGACAGTAGCCGAACCAGTGTTGCACAGTGATAAAAAAAAATAGGGTAAGCTAACTAAAATATGGCATACAAATATATTTTTATCTGACAATTATATTACATTTTTAATATATATTAGGCAACAGTTTATGAAGTAAAGTAAGAATTTAGCTCAATATTTTAAATTAGATATCAAAAATCTTCATTTAATTTAAAAATATATATGTACATATATTCTTAAAAACTTCATCCAACAAATTTTCTCACTTTTGGGGATTTTAATACAATAAACGTCTTGCAATTTTTGTTATACGTTATACGATAAAAAATCCACTTTAGGCTTACAAAACAATAAGAATAATTTTTATTGATCATCTTTAATTCCACAGGTTTACAATAACTTAAAAGCATTTCATGGAAATGTTTTCGAAAGAGACTTTTCGAATATGACGTTATACGTTTACAACTCCACTCATTAAGTGGTTACAAAGCTAACATTAATACAATGTTATTTAAACTTAATCTACTCTGTGCCCACTTTTCCCCCAATAAAAAAAAAATTATTTACTTGGCTATTAACTATGTTACTCTTTAGATGCCATATGTCCCATTAAATTCGCAGACAGCTTTTCAATTTTCTTCAAATCCGGCATATTTTCTGCTTTGTATTGAATACACTGCAAGTAAATTATACTGTTAATAACAACAATAATTTCAATAATTATGGACGTCGGAGTACCTTTACGTTGTCAGTCATTTTCAGGAGTATGTGGCCCTTCGAGTGGACGTATTTCATTGTGTATCGGCAGTTCTTTGGATTCGCCATGTACATAGACTCGGCAGCGATTTCAAAATCTTCCCAATTTTTTACGAAGACCATTTCTATATGATTTTATTAACACTCGCATAAATAACTAAATTTCACAAATATTAAATGTGGATATAGGAGGATGTCGAAATGTCAATTTTTGCTAATGTGTCACTTTTTTGATATGCGAATGCTGCCAGAGTTTAATATGGGAAAAAGGGATGCCAAAAAATAAACTTACAAAACAAACTCAAATGATTAAAAGAAAATAATTACATGTCATATATGTCAAACATGTATTTTAAAAACCTTTAAAATTATTACTTTCCTGAAAGTGAAACAAAATATAGCGTTTAGAAAAATGAAATAATTTATTTTGAAATGGCGGTGCGCCCTCTAGTGATTTATTTTACATTCTCTGCTGTTAGTTATTTTCGCCGTTTGTTTTGATATCATCTTTAATCTCTACCTTATTTCGTGATTCCACTTCTATAAATTTTTTTCGCACATAACATTCTAGACGTGCATGAACAAAGTGGCAGTAAACTAATTTTAATTGTATGAAAATTAATTTTACAATAGTTAAAAGAATAAAATAGCACGATAAATCACAATGAATTTTTTGGAACTACCAGATTGCATGTTAATGGAAATATTTGAGTATCTTACCTATGAAGAGGTATCCAAAAACCGATTAGTAAGTTTTCCGTTTTTTGTAGAAACAAATAGTGTAAATCCTTAACGTGTTACTAACGGTATAATATTTTTTTTTATGGAATATCAGGTTTGCAGAAGAGCAAATCAAATTTGTCAACAAGTTTTGAATGGCGGTTTTAGTCGTGCTGTGCGACAACACTCCACCATTTTCAAACGTATCAAATCAATGTTACCGCGTAGAGAATCAGAGAGACGGTAGGTTCATCAGGCATAAAAAGTAAAAAAAGTCACATTTACATACTTATTCTATGTAGGAATCATAGCTTAGCTCGACATGCTGATATTCTTACATCGATAGAGACTCGTATTTCGATGCTCTCTATGACATATAGTAAGTACATAGATCTGAATCTGTGTTGCTTCATACCTGGTCGAGTACTAGATGAAATCTTCCGAATTCTTATATTGGTATCAAAAACACGCAAAACACTCCGGCCGCATGAAGTGCTGCAAGAGCTACGCGACATATCTTCTATGGCAATAGAGCACTTCGATGAAAAAATAGCAAATATTCTAAAGCCCTATGTTGACGCCAGCAGCAACAGATCTAGCGCCATTGACCATAAACGTATAACGGCTGCAAGTTCCGGTTTGGGTAGCATAAGCTTCAGTGTCACACAAAGTAATTCCAATATGTGGACCCAGGCGAGTAGTACTTCAAAACTGTTGACAGCTTCAACTCGAACATCACCGCTAAAAATGCCCTGCAGTAACTGCAATGAAGCTATTCTTAATAGAATGGCTGCTCTTATAAATGTAAAATCACCAAATTCAGATAGTTCGGATTCAACTGATTGGGATTCCATATACACGACAGTGGGTGGGTGCTGTTGTTGTAAAACAACAAATATAAAATCAGACAATGACGCTAAACAGAAACGCAATGGATGTCCAGAGGCAAAAGCAACAATGTCCAAATACAAAAAACTTGAATTAGAATACAAAAATGGTGTTCAAAGAGTAAGTGAACGTGCTTAACTGTTGTCATCGTTTAGTAACAAGGTTGTTTAAATTTTAGATGAATCGGATGCAACAAATACAGGTACAGCAATCACGTCGTTTGCAACAGACCATGAGTACAATTTCTACCATGAGTACACAAATAACTGAATTAAAGAAACGTTTGGAGGATTTGGATGCAAAAAATCGCGAAATATCAGCGAATATTAAACAGATTAATCCAGGTGCTGGCGATTCGACAACTGCCACTACAAGCACTACTAGTGTTATAGCTAATCAAAAGGATGATGATATTGCACGTGATGATGACGATGATACTCTGGCAGGACCCTCAGCTGCTAAAAAACGTCGTTGCGAAGGCACTACAACGCCGCGGAAAAGAATTTCGGAATCAAACGAAAATCTGGAATAGAATCCTTTTGAAATAACAAATTACATACAGGAATCAAAGGTATTAACTCATTTCAAGCAATGTTTAAGAAATATATAGAGATGCATATATATGCGCATATTCTAAAGTATGCTTTTAAAAGGTTTCAATACTGTGTGGTCGTATGTGGTGTTGAACTATTTGTATTGAAATTCATCTATGCCCTTTAAACTACAAATATTGCTACCCATTGTTTAATAAGGTTCTAATTAAGCCATTGTAAATAGCAATTTTACACTTATTTTTGTTGTAGATATCTAAAATATTTATTTTGCTAGAAAGATTTATACAGCGTGGCGAATGGCTCAAAAAAACACGTCTGGCGCAAACATCTAATATATAAAAACCTTTAGAAAGTATTTGTAAACACCTAGCAGCTATTTATTTCTATCTTGTTTAAATAAATTGACTTATGCCTATACTGTGTTTATTTTTTATTAGAAAACGTGTTTGGACATATATCGTATTAAGCTATTTTGTCCACATTTCTTCGACTTTTATGGTTTTCAAATAAATCTAAAACGATTTTAACATTAGGTTTTTGTTTCAACTTGGCGCCAGTAAGCATTTTCGACAAAAATATTTCAAAGAAAATCCTTTCATTCAAAAGAATCAAACTTGAAGTGCTCACATTACGCACTTTCGTTAATATAATGGGCGATATTAATTATTGAATCGTTTGAGACTCATATTGTTTAGATGTTTTAGCGATATTGCTTACAAGTCTACTATAAATTACATTTAGTGTTTTTTGTTCTTGCCGTAACGTTCATACTTGCTCTTTGATGAGTGCCACAGTGCCAATGGAATTGCTAAGGAAGGCAAAGTCATTATAGCGAATGCAACCCAATCAAAGAAGTGTGACGAGAAACGTTTGTTGAATTCCGCAAGATTTATAATTCCACCCTGACCAGGCTCGGAGCTTACAGCCAATTGCAACTGTGAAATAAAATATATATATAAGTATCTAATTGGAAAGCATATAATTAGTATTCGTTACCTCTTCGGCTTCCTCGACAGGTTTGTACGAAATTTCAGCGGCTGTGAAATTGAAATATCCATATGCTTTAGGACGCACCACCAACACATGGGTATAGTTGGCTTGTGGAGCGATGCGTTCAATGGTAGCAGTTGGTTGACCTCCAACTACATCGAAGGCTTCTGAGGGGAAACCATTATCGACTAATTTCACATTGGTTGCGGCACCATTTCCCACGTTATAGATTGTGTAGCGCACAAGCAGATCACTTTTCTCTACTAAATACTTGTTAAGTATTTGTTTAGAAATTAGTAAACGTGCGCTGGTTTCGTCATCAGAAAGGCAGATATTTGATAATGCCAGTAAGATTACAACAGAAAACAACGATTTGAACATTCTGAAATAGATCGAGAAATACAAATATGCTTAATGTTACAAGTGTATGCACTAATTTCACTTCTTGTTGACGTGGAAGCTTTGCGGCTGATTATAAATTATACCAATCTTAATAAACATTATTTGTTTATTTTATTAAATTCTAACGCAGACTATATTGTTTTCACTTACTTGATTTATTAAATATAAAATCTCAGCTAAAATCTCTTAAAAAACCGATTAATTCCACACCGCAATCAAAATGAAAATCAACTTTCCAATAATGCAATGAAAATGTAGCGAAGATTTGACGGGACTATGTGACGTGTATACTTCGTGTATTGAGTTGTCATAGATCGTAAAAGACATTTGGAGCGCCATCTAGCACTTGCACCAATGATGCACTAGTTATTGCTAAATAATGAGATGTCGCTAAAATTGGAATGGTAAATTTCTGCTTAAAAATATTGTTCAAATTCAAAATATTTGTGATTCTTTATATAGTTGATGATTTGACAGCGCCTTTTCTATATTAAAGCGGAGTCGTTACTACGATTTATTGGCGTTCTTACTGTTTTCCGCGATCCCCATATAAGATTTTTTAGCGTTTAATTTGTAAAACTAACTATACTATAACTATAATCTCTATCCGAAATTTCAATTTAAAATAATTTTTCGATTTTGAAACCCTACAAATTTTAATTGTTTGTTTATAACCCAATTGGTTTAATTTTAACTTTATTGTGCGATATGGATTTTATTTTGTTAATATTGTATTCTAAATAAAATCTTAACCAGATGAATGGAAAAGAAAACTCATCCTTTGGAATATTTTTTTAATTTTTAAGGGTCTTTTTAGTTTTTATATTATTTTTTATTGAATTCTATTTTTTACTCGTATTGTTTTTAACATTTTCACAACATTTTTTAAACATATCGATAAGTTCTACAATTATCGTAAGTTCACAATGGTTTGTTTACAAAAAGTAATCCCACCAATGATTGTTTTGTTGTGCTACTGATATGAATTTGTGTATGTAAATTTAAAACCGGCAACTAAATAAAATATTTATGCTAAGGAAGCGATCGAACTTAAAATAGATAGTCACTGAATATTTTATAAAGCTGCAATTCATAATAATAATTGGTAGAACCTTGTTGGTTTGCTCATTATATTTGCGCTAGCGCAAGTTGCTTTCAGCTAGCTGCTGACATTGAATGACCTTGTATGCGTGTATTATCAGTAAATTGCCTAGTATGGGGTAGTCAGTTTTCGGTAATCGAGTGTTGCGAACGTTGCAAAATATACGTTGGTTCATAGTTTGCTTATTATTAATTTGATTGCTCGTTGGATTGTCGATTATTAAAATTCATAAATTAATTATGTCGACTGTTTCTGTAGTTTCTACAAAACCATACGAAGGCCAAAAACCAGGCACTAGCGGATTACGCAAAAAGGTTTAATTTCTTTAGGCATATCTAGTTTAGTTTTTTTTTTTCTGCAAGTGGATATTAGACAACTAAACTCTTAATTTTATATACCAAATTTTAAAGGTAAAAGTTTTCACACAACAAAATTATACCGAGAACTTCGTGCAGTGTATTTTGGATGCCAATGGTGCAGCTTTAGAAGGATCTCTGCTTGTAGTGGGTGGTGATGGCCGCTATTATTGTAAGGAGGCTGCAGAACTTATTATTCGAATGTGTGCTGCGAATGGGGTGAGTTTATAGAGCTAATATGTATGTATTTTTGTAGACAAGTATGTTTGTACATAGTAGGATAATAAATTGACATGCAGACGTTTTAAAATTAATGATGTATTCAAATACTATTAGGTTGCAAAATTATTGGTTGGACAAAATGGTATACTTTCGACTCCAGCTGTTTCAAGTTTAATTCGTAATCATAAGGCTTTAGGTAAGTAATCATACTACTAGTTAGATAAAATTTTCTTCTGAAAACGCATATGTACGTGTGGTATAATTTTAGAAAAGTTAATATATGTATGTCATATGGGTATATGTTATCCACTAAAGTAGATCAAAGGTATATATTTTTATCACAAGAAAAAATATGTCGCTTTTATCACACTCCATTAAAAATTAAAATCGGATAGTGAAAAACCGTTAGCTTCGTTTGCACCAATGCTAGACTACCCTTCACAAATAAAAATGTTTTCATATAAGAAGTTTATTTTGATCTATACGATTGTATAGCAGCTATATGCTATAGTCCAAACTGAACAATTTGTTCGGAGATTGTACCGTTGTTTTGGACAATACTTTAGGCCAAATTTTACGAAGATACCTCATCAATATATATATCTATATATATATATATATACCTATATGCCCTGTTAAGTGTATAATAACGGCTAATATCATTTTATATGAAGGAAATGTGCACAAGTATATAAATATATACATACATATGTATATGCATGCATATATAGGAGATATTCCGCATATACACATGTAGTTTGCAAATATTTAAAAATTAAAGTGCATTTAAGTCTTTTGTGTAGTTTGCTACATTTGTTTACATTCAAACGCTATAAAAGTAGCTTGTTGTTTGAAATTTAATATATTATTTCTTATCAACAATGATGGCAAACAAAGGCGGGTATTTTTGAATGTCATCATGATAAGAGAATAATTTCTAATTTAATAGTTGTAATTGCTAAACAAGTAAACAAATCCGTAGTTAAGATAATAATACAACTTATTTTTTCGATTTTCTTAATTACATACATACATATTAATTTTAGGTGGCATCGTATTGACAGCTTCTCACAATCCCGGCGGTCCCGAAAACGATTTCGGCATTAAATTCAATTGTGAAAATGGTGGACCCGCACCAGATGCAGTCACAAATAATATCTATCAACTCTCCACTGCCATCAAGGAGTACAAAATAGTCAATGGCTTGGACATTGACATAAGTAAAATAGGCACTAATAAATATGAAATTAACGGTAAACCTTATGTTGTTGAGGTCATCGATTCGGTGGCCAACTATGTTGCCCATATGAAAGAGATTTTCGATTTTGAGAAATTGCGTGACTTTGTTAGCGAAAAGACATCGGGCAAATCGCTTAAAATGCGCATAGATTCGTTGAACGGCGTTACTGGCTCATATGTGCGTGAGATCTTTCTGAACGCTTTGGGTGCAGCTGAGAATTGTGTAGTTCACACAACACCGTTACCTGATTTTGGCGGCTTGCATCCCGATCCGAATTTAACTTACGCCAAGGACTTGGTGGAAACTGTGGCTCAAGGTGATTACGATATTGGAGCTGCATTCGATGGAGATGGTGTAAGTAGCTCAATCAAACAAAATATATATCAAATGTAATAAATTTGAAAATGTTCACATATAGGATCGTAACATGATCATTGGCCATCGCGCTTTCTTTGTAACGCCCAGCGATTCGTTGGCAGTTATCGCGAATAATTTGGAATGTATACCATACTTCAAGAAAAATGGTATACAAGGCTTTGCAAGAAGTATGCCAACAGCTTCGGCAGTTGATTTGGTGGGCAAAAAGTTGGGTAAAGAGGTATTTGAAGTACCCACTGGCTGGAAGTATTTTGGTAATCTTATGGACGCCGGTCGTCTGTGTTTATGTGGCGAAGAGAGTTTTGGCACTGGCTCCAATCATATCAGAGAAAAGGATGGCATTTGGGCAGTTTTAGCTTGGCTCTCCGTTATGCAGCATACCGGCAAGGGTATTGAAGATATACTCAAGGCTCACTGGGGCACGTATGGACGTAATTACTTTACACGTTATGATTATGAGGAATGTGAATTGGAACCTTGTAACGAAATGATTGCAACTATGGAGAAAAATATTACCGATACTTCATTTGTTGGAAAGAGTTTTTCGAGTGGTGATAAAACATATAAAGTCAAGGTAGCTGATAACTTCAGCTATACCGATCCTGTAGACAAGTCTCTGGCCACAAAGCAAGGTTTACGCATTGTCTTTGAAGATGGCAGTCGTATTGTGTTTCGTTTAAGTGGCACAGGCAGTTCGGGCGCTACAGTGCGGTAGGTTATTCAAGCGTTTTGTCTGCTATTTACACACATCTACAAGTAATGTTGTTTTTGTTAATTCCAGTTTGTATATTGATTCTTACGAGAAGGATAATGTGCTCGGCCAAGCCAGTGTTATGCTGAAACCATTAATAGATATCGCTTTGGAGATTTCCCAACTGCCAAAATTCACCGGCCGCAATGCACCCACTGTCATTACATAAGAAATTTCAGAAACGAACCAGTAAAGACTCGTTTTCAAACACCTTTGCCTAAAGCGCGTTTCTCCTGTTGATAGTTCTTATTTTTGTCTAAAAACCGATTTTAATAAGGATATAGTTACTAAAATTGGCACCATTTGTTGCGATGAATTATTTTAAATAATAAAATTTGTATGTTTGTGTTTTATATAAGCAATAATGCGTCTCTTTTAACAAAATTTATAAATAATAGTTAAACTTTGTTGCTTAAAGCTAAATACTCAAATTGATTTAGTATTATTGTGGGACAGCGTTCGGTTAGAACAGTACGCGGCAGCTTAGCTAATCTAACAAACATCTGCAGGAAATGCAACGCCGTTGTGCCTTCCACGCTTAATTCACTTTTGGCACTGAAAATGATAAACTTTATTTTTCGATTGCCCATAAGTGTAATGTACAAAGCATACTAACCTTATATTCGCCTCCGTTATCACAGTTGCATATTGACACAGATAAGTCAAGTACAATAGCTTAACATCTTTATGAAACTGCTGTAAAACCGTTAGTAAGCCCACTAGTAGTGGTGTGCCATCTAAAGCATCCTTAATATTTTTCGCCAACAAACCATTTGTGTTGACCGCAAATTGTAGGCGTGGCAAATGTGCTATGGTAAATAAGAAGAGAAACAGCGCAATGTGATGTGTGCTTTTGGTTGTGAGGAAGACTTGCTCAAGAGGCTCATAAGAGCCTGTAAAGGCAAGATACTCGTTAAATTCCATAAGCAATTGATTGCCACGATCCGAGTCGATAAATTTCGCGTAAATTTTCGGTTGCTCCAATTCGTTCAACAGTGCCCTAGAAGACAAAATAATTTTATAAACAAGAAAAAACGTTATATTCGGTTGCACCGAAACTATAACACCCTTCACAAAGCAAATTATTCTTACAAGATATTCAGTCAAATACAAAGTGCTCCCTACAAGGATTGGATTTTGATCGATTAGTTTGTATGACAGCTATATGCTATAGTGGTCCGATATTGACGGTTCCGAAAAATTAGCAGCTTCTTAGGGAAAAATGGGCGGGTGTAAAATTTCCGAGCGATATCTTAAACACTGAGGAACGAGTTCGTGTATACACAGACAGACGGACATGGCTAAATCGACTCAGTGTGCTCATGCTGATCATTAAATATATATATATATATATATATATTGTATATATGTATATATATATATTGTATATATGCTAAATATATATTATGCGGTCTCCGACTAAGAAAAATTCGAACTTCTAAGTGAAGCTCGATCTGAGCAAGCCAAAAAAGTTCGAAAAATGCAACATATAATTAAAAATGTATGTATATATGAATCACCTATTGAATGTTTCTAGTGCTGATTCCAAGTTTTTCGAATTACATTTGCTGCTCCTGTTCAACTCAAAGGACAGTTGCTGACGCAGTATCTGCTTATGGCCCAACTGTAGCAGCCATTCCAGCAATGTGGGCCACACTTTCAACCAGCGATTGTGGAAATTTGCGTAGAATTTTAACGGGTTTGCGGAATTTGTGCCCGGAAACTGTTTTGATTCCAACTCGACGCTTAAGCTATTTAATGCTTCTAACCACATATTATCGTTGGCTAAATTCTTTTGCATTTTTTCCAAATTCTGTTTGAGTTCTGCTGCAAACATGTACGAATACAGACGATCTAGTCCGACCAAACCAGCCGGTCCGATTGCCTCGCGCACTTTGCTGAAAAAGCAACCATTCAGAATTTCTTTGTGTGGTGCACGTTTTTCATACCAAGTTGCTTTGAGTTCTATATAAATTGTACGCTTAGGATCTGTGCATTGGAGTATTTCGTGAGCCAAGCGGCCTATGAAATTATTCGATTTGGAGGCGTCAGCTTGCAGTGGCGGAAAAGTTGGTATAGGTACAGTTTGACTTTGATAGCGTGATTGCCAATCTTGTACCTTATTGCGTAAAAATGCATTGCACTCCTTTTCAACATTGTAGTTGATAATGCGTGTTAGCTCTTCTTGTAAAATCTTTAGACCATGTATTTTCAAGTAATCTTGTATATACTCAAAGGAGCGCCGATAACCATCCATTACCTTGGCTAATGCTAACAGCTTCGTTTCTAGTAGAGCTATAGGTGGTTGTTTCGTTTTAGTTGTTGTCGTGAAAATCAAGCCCACGTTTAGCGCGTTCGCAAGATGCCGCACGAGTTCTTTGCGTATGCCATCTTCAAGCAGCTGTTTGGGATCAAGTTCAATAACACCAACTAGCGTCTTCTTCATCATTAGTATGCCTTCAGTGAAAATGGCAATTGAATGGGTTAGCTTTGCGATTGTATAACGATCCTCGAACTGTGCATACTCTTTCAGTTTGTCCTTTTCCAAGCGCGTAGGTATTTCGCGCAGCACCTCCGTTTGTAAATTTATAATGCGTGCCATTATGCTGAACATGGTTTCTGGTATGATTTGCAAAACTTTACGCATGTAATTCGCAAGCTCGGTGCTGTAGTAATTGGAGACGGATACCAAATCTTCACTGTGTTCTTGGTTTATACGCAACAGAGGAATTTCCAAAGCACTGGCAAGTTTAAGGAATGCTGCGCGCAACCGTATTACAGATCTCGGTTGCTTTTTAATACTGTCCTGCATGATTACGGTGAAATCACGATCTAGTAAACGCCACGCGTAACTCAAATCACTGATCAATTGCATATTGATTAGAATATCTTCCTTGATATTAATTATCTAGAAAAATTAAATATGCGCTATATTATTATATATACATGCAAGCCCATATTACATTACCTGTATCATGCGGTGTAAGAATTCACGCGTTTCCAGCAAATACTGCTTCACTTGCATGTTTGCTTGTAGATTATGAAATTCCTCCACCTCTTCAAGCGCCTGTATCAGTTGAATTAATGTTCGTCCCGAGAAATTCACATTTTCCGCACTAAGTTTTTCAACTTCATTAGTTATTTCACTGAACCACAACTTTAATTGTGGATTGTTTTCTATTTTTGACAGCGGCCGTGAGCCACCAAATGCCTCGCCTAATTCTTTAAGACGATCCAAAGCTTCATGCTTGTACTTACACCATCTTTCGGCTTTTGCGTCCATTAAATCACGCAATATATCCTTAACGGTCACCTCCAACTGGCTACAATCAAGTAAAAGCTCTAATAGTTGTTCCTTACGATAGTTTAGCTCATTGCAGACTAATTGTTCGACTTGTTGAGTCTTTTGTGAACTCTGAGTCAATACCAGTACTGCTTTTGATGTATGTGTGAAATACCAGCGCAGTAAAACGTTACATTGCCGCATCAAAGGTGTAATTTTCGTGATATTCTGTAGGACAAAGTCGTCGTTCAAAACACCAGCTCGTAGTATTTCCTGAGTTTGTTTCAAAGTCTTGTTCATTTTCTCCTTATGCAGCAAACAGAAGCCTTTCACGCCAGTATCCACCACAGGCGCTAAAGCCGCTTTGGCTGCTTTAAATTCATCCCACGCATCAATCAAGTTAACGGTTACACCCATGTAAATAGATACTACCCAATTATCCGAGTAGAATTTGTCCACAATTTCACGCATTTGTGCTACTTGAGAATGGAGGGTTTGTGGGGTGAAAAAAAGGCATACGAAAAGCATTGCCGCCTGTGTGGACAGAGCAGTGGAGCGATGATCAGGATGTGGATAAATGGCTAACTGGTTGTAAAGATCGTCACATCGTAAACGACCAATTACCATATCAATAAAGTTTTGGTCAAATGTAAAGCGTGAAAAATAAGAAACTGGATATTGTGAGGGTGTTGTTTGTTTTGCGTTGTAAGGTGTGGATCCATTGTTTGCTACGAAGCCTGTGGATCGCAATAACATACACACGTCATCGATGTTGCTATCACCTTGCGCTTTTGCAGCACTATATCGATAGTAGGATATTAGAAGGCGTTCACGCACAATCCCCGGTATATGATAGTCAAGAAGCAATAACATCGTGCCAAACAAGTATAATGCTTCACACTAGAATTGAAAAATTATATTAAGAAAAGTTAGTATTAACAAAAATCATATTTAAACCAACTACCATTAACTGTTTGCCTTCTACATCTTGTAACACAGATTCTAGTGTCTGCTGAATGTAGTAACCACGATTCAATTCATCAATGAATTGCTTGAGATCCGCAGCATACTGATGTGTACTTTCAAAGGCCAGATAAAACCGCGTTAAAAGGTCCAGATAGTTTTCACGTACCTCGTCATCCAAATCTTGCAACTCCTATATTGATAAGAGTGAAATAAAATATTATTACTTGAAAATAAGGATTTAAAAAATCCGTTTTTGGCTTACCGGATTTTCCTCAATCTTTTGCTCCTGTGCCTCCGCTATTTTTAAATAGCTAAAATCCAATATAATTTCAGAATACTTTTGAACGTCAGCCTTGGATTCTAAACTAAATATTCATTGCATTAATCATCGGTAATTTTGTTATGCATTGTTCTTTACCGATATATATCCGGAATGTAATCCTTTAGGCGTAATGTTTCCGCAATTATCGCATTTCCTACAGAAACGATATGAAGCAAACTTTGTCCACAAGCATTATTTTCAGCTAGAAAATCAGCCATTTTTGTGTACATCCAAAAATTTACCAAAATCCACTGTTTACCTCTTATCACTGGTGATATTTTTATTTGCAAAGCAAACACAAATTATACAAAAAGTCAAACAATCTGACATTGGAAAACAATGTTCCAATCTAAAATTTTCAAAATTTCCCATACACATATGTTCATATGTCAGTTCTTTGACGTTTATCTTTAACCAGCATTTATCGCTGTCTTTTTTATTTTTATCATTTACACATATTGATAAGCACTTATATATCAGTAAATGGACTTTAATTGCAAGTGTTTTTTGGAGAATCGGAAGAATTATCATTTTCAATTTGTACCTAGAACTTAAAATATTACTACAATGACAATCAGTGGAATTAGTGTTGAGATACAGGATAAAGTCCTAACGATAACATTTGACAAGCCGGAAAAACTTAATAGCATTAATAGAAAAGGATATAGAGCGCTTGGTTTGGTGTTGCGAGAAGTGGCCAAGGATGACAGTGTGACAATTGTTGTTATCACTGGCAAAGGAGATTTTTTCACTTCTGGAAATGACTTGTCGCAAGCTTTGGATGATTCTTCAGATATTGAAGCTCAGATTAAAGCATCAAACGCTATATTTAAAGAAATGGTTAGCGCTCTAATCGACTGCCCTAAATTGACTTTGGCGTTGGTAAATGGACCTTGCATTGGAATTGGAGCTACATTGGCTGCCCTTTGTGACATTGTGTGGTGCGCATCTAATGTAAGCAAATTTTACATTGTTATTAACATGAAATTATTAATTTTCTGTATGATTTTAGGCATATTTCCTGACTCCATTTACAAAGTTAGGTATTGTACCTGAAAGTTGTTCATCCTATTTATTTCCGTTAATACTTGGACGTTCCAAAGCAAACGAAATGCTATTGTTGTCCCAAAAACTAAGTGCTCAGGAAGCTTACAATTTTAATTTTGTTTCAAAAGTATTTGAAAACAACACGTTAGATTCACATATTTGGCCAGCAATTAGGGAATTCTCAGAACTACCCCCTGAGTCAATGCAAATATCTAAATCTCTGATTCGTATGCATGAGAAAGAGGCGTTGTATCGAGCACTGAATGCTGAATCCGAAGAACTTTCCAAGCGGTTTACCACGGAGGAGTTCGCAAATGCATTGATTGCGTTCGGATCACGCAAAAATAAATCCAAATTATAATATAAAAATCATAACTTGTAATTGTAAAAGTTAATATATAAATATTATATGTAATAAATTTTTTAGGTGTACAAACCACTATCGAACTTTACCAATGATTTACAGTAGTAGGAATTGTTATATATATATGGGGCAAAGAAAAATTACATTCCCTAAATTAACTTCCATACGTAAAATTAAAACATTTTTAAGTATAACAAGTAAGGAAGGGCTAAGTTCGGATGTAACCGAACATTTTATACTCTCGCAAAGTCAAATAGTATACTCGTTTGAGATTTCTTTGTGGATTGGCTGATATTTTCGGTAGAAGGTCAACTATAGGCACTGGGGTCCACATATTTAGTACTTAGGGGCTTAAACAGTTTTGATTCGATTTAGACAATTTTTGGCCACAAGGTGGCATACTTTAATCGCATTATTCACGCAAAGTTTTATCCCGATACAGTCATTGTTGCCTGATTTGCATAGTGGAAAGTGAAATAATCAGATGGAATTTAAAATGGTGTTATATGGAAAGTAGGCGTGGTTGTAGTCCGATTTCGCCCATTTTTGCACTGTGACATAGAAACATGAAAAGAACGTTATGCACCGAATTTGGTTGAAATCGGTTAAGCAGATCTCAAGATATGGGTTTTCACCTAAAAGTGGGCTGTGCCACGCCCACTGTCTAATTTTGAACGCGGTTCCTATAAAGTCATCTCATACCATCCCAGAGATAAAATTTAATGACTCTGGCGTGTTTAGTGCTTGATTTATCGCGCTTTTAGTAGTTTTTAACAGTACCGTTATATGGGGAGTGGGCGGAGTTGCCACCCGATTTCAACTATTTTCACACCGTCAATAGAAGTGCTAAAAATATTTGCTTCCAGTGAATTTTGTTATTATAGCATTAGCGGTTTAGGAGATATGCACATTAAACCTATTAGAGGCGGGACCACGCCCACTTTTTTAAAAAGAATTTTAACTGCAGATGCCCCTCCCTAATGTGATCCTGTGTACCAAATAACAGTCTTGTATCTTATTGCGGAGCTTAGTTATGGCAAGTTATTTGTTTTTGATTAATGGCGTTTTGTGGGCGTGGCAGTGGTCCGATTACGCCCATCTGCAATACCAACCGTCTCACGGTACCATGAAACATGTCTACCAAGTTTCATAAAGATATCTCAATTTTTACTCAAGTTAGAGCTTGCACGGACGGACGGACGGACAGACGGACGGACGGACAGACAGTCACCCGGATTTCAACTCGTCTCTTCATCCTGATCATTTATATATATATAACCCTATATCTAACTCGATTAGTTTTAGGTGATACAAACAACCGTTAGGTGAACATAACTATTATACTCTGTAGCAACAGGTTGCGAGAGTATAAAAAAGCATGTTTACTATTTTTGTTATTATTTATTTTGGGATAAACACATTAAATTATGTATAATAAAATATTTTAAAATTTTAAATAAATGACTTATTTTTCGTTCTCATTTTTTATAAATTTCATTTTAAATCCGTCAAAATATGGGTGTTCAAGAATGTCCTTTGCAGAGATGCGGTGAACAGGATCATAAATAAGCATTTTTTGAATTAAATCAACACCGCGATCATTAAGATTTTTCAACTGGTTAGTAAGTTGATTTGTCGACCAACACGGAAAGGTGTTTTTATAGTCCGGCAGCGATGTAACACCTGGCCATGTCTCCTCAGTAGGCGTCTTTAGAATTCTGAATATTCTAAATAGCTGGTCGATTTCGGAATCGCCTTGGAAAAGTGGTTTCCTTGTAGCCATTTCGGCGAATATGCAACCAATTGACCAAATGTCTACTGGACATGAGTATCTCTGTGAACCCAACAACACTTCTGGTGCTCTGTACCAGAGGGTCACGATTTCATGAGTGTAAATGCGGACTGGTATTCCAAATGATCTACCAAGTCCAAAGTCTGCAACCTTAATTACACCTTTCTTATCAATGAGTAAATTTTGTGGCTTCAAATCGCGATGAAGAACGCGGCGTCGGTGACAAAATAAAATTGCATTTGTTATTTGATACAAATAGCTTCGAACCAACTCCGTTTCCATTGATTTTTCTGGTGGCAATGAATCCATATATTTCTTCAAATCCATAGATAAAAATTCAAATATCAAGTACAATCTGTTCTCCTCCATCAGCACGTCTTCTAGGCAAACAATATTTGGATGCTTAAGTTCTTTCAGTAAGGATATTTCCCTTATTGCCGTCGATGGAATTCCCTCATCATCAGACTCTAGACGAATCTTTTTCATGGCAACTATTTGACCAGTTACTCGGTTGCGTCCCTTATACACCACACCATATGTACCTTCGCCAATCTTTTCTATTTTTTGAAAGTCTTCCATGTTAAACTTTGATTTGCATTCACTTACACACGGTTAATTATTTAAACTTAGCAAAATTTTTGTAATTAGTGCGAAATTAAAATTTCGATCGAAAAGACAAATTTCGCGCTCAGTTACAATGGAAAATATTGGAAAACACACCTTTCATCAATGCAACCCTGATTTCCATTGGCATTCCTCTGTCGCCATTTTCACCGCTTTCCAGTCTTAAATCCCTTTCGCTCGCATAGTATTGTCAGTCATGAGCCTTCGTTTATCTCGTTTTCGCATTCTTCCTCGTATTTGATGTAAACCGTTCGCCGCACTAGGCACGTAAAGTTGCAAGAACGTGAATTTACTAAAGGCAAAGCAAAGGAAGAAAGAAAAGAAATATTTTTTTCCACGAGTGAAACTTTCCGTGCATATATTAAACAAAAACAGTGAACTATTAATTTCGTTTAATCCACAGTAACGATATACCATACGACACAAAATTTCAATTTGCATATTGAATATTTTGTCTTTCTTTATTTGATTCGGAGTGCGAATGCTCGGTCAAATCTATTGCTAATTAAAGTGTGTAAAGAAAATAAAAAAGTGCTGCAATAATCACAGGCTACAAGACGGCAGAACTGCAAAAATATCGTGTTTGTCGTTCTGGTATCAGTGAAGAGAATACAGCAGAATAAGTGCTGGAATCTGAAAAGTATTAATTAGGGAGCAACATAAGCGGCGTGTTGCGGCTGGCGAGAAATACTTCATTACGACTTTGTGGCGACAGTTCAAAGCAGATATTGAAGTAGGGAACCAGGTGCACTTGACAGTTCCGACAGGATTTGCGTCAGTAAACACGTCCTAATATTAACCAAGAGCTATTGACACAGATAGTTCTATGGTGCTCGGCTGCTAGTCCGTAAGCAGAGAATATGAAATGAAAATCTGAAGGTACGTATCATATGAATAAAAAAGTATTATTGTAAATAATTATGATAATAAATGCATTTGAGAGGGACAAAGTTTACAATCACTCAAGTTATACTTATGTGTTGTAAAAGTGCCACACAGGCAGGCGGCAGGCTAAGCTGACTCGCCGCATACACACATGCAAACAAACATATGTAAATTTGTATAAACACGCCGCAAATATTTCATCACGCCATCATAATTTAATCCGATGCAGTTTGATTTGTGTTGTAAGTTAGTCCCATTTTATAGTGTTATGTTGCAATATCATTTTCATTACTGTTGACACTAAAAGTTTAAATGTTCAATTTAAGAAAGAATAAAATATTGAATACCCAAATTATTTTAGGTTATGTTACAGATTACTTTATAGTTCTTCAGTTTTTATACTGCACGACTCTTGTGAGTAGCGGACGATATAAAGTTAAATTCAGCATATATTTGAATTTACTAATCATTCTTAGTCCCTGTCTGGTTCTTTTAATTATTTTATGCTATGTAAGTCCATAAACTAGCCGATGCGTACCGGCTGTTAATACGCCGGTTATCAGGTTAGATACAAAAAGGTTATAATATATCTAGGATAAGTTTCCTTTTAATGTCATTGTTTTCTTTTTTAAGTAATGTTTATTAATTAATTGTTTACAATGCATTTTGTTGTCTTACCTAAATTTCATTATGTATGGTGTTTGATTTTCAATTAATATGATTACAGTGAAAAAGTTGCTCCTTTATTTATGCAATATATTTTTGCCCGGTAGTGAAATCTTAGTAATATAAATATTTTAAGAAAGTGCACTTTTATGTACTTTGGCAAAATGTACCACTGTAATAATAGTATTGTTTCGCACGTCTTACGCTTTGCTTATACTACAATTTTATCATCAAACAGAAAGCGTAGAAAATATTTTTATTTATAGCCGATTGAGGAATACTATTTAAAGTAACTGTTTAAATTTTTTGCAACGTTTAGCAGTATAGCTTCGGAGATAACACAGTAGATTTATATTACAAATATTTTATGGAAATACTGGTATATCATTTGTAATCGTTTGTGTAAAGTGTTTATTGTTTTAATTAATAAATATAAATTTCCAATTACAGTTCTTCCTGCACCATACCGAACTTCAATTACATTTCATAGAAAAGGTTTTACTTCGAGAGAAAAATGGAATCGTCCACAACAATCAAGAATCCCAATAATAATAATCACGCGGATAATCATAATTTGATTAATAATCAAGCACAGCAAACAACATCTTTACAAAATAATAATCTAACTATTTCTGCTCAGCCATTTACTCCTGCGGCCCATAACAACAATGTCAATAATACAAACAATAATAACTTAACTGTACAACAGTCTAGCAATGCAATCGCGCCTGCTCAATCATATACACCCGTTCCGGCAGCCACTGCAGCTCCCTTACATAGTGTGGCGGCCACGTCAGCAGGTCATCCTATTTACAATCAAGCAATGCATTCACCAAATATGTTTGTACCAGCACCGGGAGTTCATCAAGCGGGACCTATGTATGCAGCTATGATGCCGGCACAAATACCCAGTAATGTTTACGTTAACAATGTCACAGCCAACGTAAATTTGCACGGATGGGCACATACAGTACCAGCTTATATACCCGGTGGAGCACCACATTATATTCAGGGTGACATACCCCCAGATCAGGTATAATATATACAACAATTATGTGAAATAAAATTTAAACTCCTTTTTCCACTTTCAGAATCCATCTGTTATGCAAGCTATACCTGGCATGCCTGTAGCGTTGGCGCCGTCGAACGCTATAGTTGCGCCTGGTGGAAATGGCAATTCCAGTACGCAAATGGGCACCATGAGTAGTCGTGGCTCTCGCCGCGGACGTGGTCGTGGTGGTAGCGGTGGTTCACGTCGTGGAGATTACAATAATCAACGACATCCGCCACCGGAAGGTAGTCCAGCGCCACAACCGCAAATGGTACAAGCGCAAGAACAAATTGGACAACAACAGTCATTAACACAACAACAACAATCGCAACAAATCGATTCCTCTAACCAATTAATGGCTACCGGACCGCCAAGTTATGCCGCACAACCGCAATATGCGCCCCCACCAGCATATGCCGCATATCCATATCAAGCATACTTTGCAGCTGCTCAGAATCCAATGTTGCATCCAGCGCAGGCCGCACAACAAGCCACTGGCACACCTCTGTATGTTTCGCATATGCCAATGTATAATGCACATCCCGTCTATAACTACATGGGCAGTCCATTTGTTTATCCGCCCGTCATGAATCCGCCCGAATATCAATTTTTGCCCGGTGAAGACGGTCAATGTGATGAGCGTCAAAATCCCGAAGGTATGGTGGCGCCAATGTGGCATGCACAACCGATTTATGCCGATGAATATGGCATGAATCCCGAAATGCATAATGCTGGCGAAGAAATCAATCACAACGCCGCTTCCATGGGCTCCGTTGATACACCGAGCATGCTAAGTCCAAATTATGCAATGTATGATCCACAAATACATGAAGTGCAACAACATATGGGCATGATGCATATTTACGAAGACCCTCAAATGACGCAAATGCCAGTCATGCACCCAGAAGCATCAGTCACACAGGTAAGCTAAACTGAACAAGCAAAATTAAATTATCAAATTAATTTCTATTGTACTATCAAACGAATAGCTGGAAGAAGAAATCGTCGAATGTGCTGTACCACCTGGTGCCATACAAATGGTGTCCTCAGGTACAATGATTACGGCTGGTTCCATACAAGTGTCCAACGAAACTCAAATTATTCATCACAGCCATGCGCAACACCAATCTCAACACATCATACAAAACGCCGTCTTGGAAATGAAACCACACCATTCAAGCGGTAAGTGCCAAGCATTTTTTTACATTTCTATATTTATACTATATATGGCGTGAAATCAGTTCAGTCGACCTACTAATGACCATAGTACAACGCAATATGAAAATTCTTGCAGTACATTTTTGTTGAAAAATTTTGAGTAAGGTAATGCCTGTGCCCCTAATTTTACAATGCTATAACGGAGAATGTGCTTCTGTACCGTTATTCCATACCATTTACTTATGAACTACTGATAACATTAAATTGTTTATATTATAAACCTTTTGACTATTTCGTTTGGTTCCTAGAATATTAAATTTAGTTCGAATTCATTCTTGTCGGTCAGGCGCTTTCGTTATCTTATATTTAAGCACCTATGTTATCAAAGATAAATATAACGCTTTAGTGTACTGCAAATTCTTTGCATTGCTATATAGCATTACCGTTCAGTTGTGTCGATTATTCATCGAGTTGGTGGCATATATCTACAACTGAATTTATACTTATAAAAATATAGTTTTTTTTTTTAACTTTTTCGAGCAGAATTCTACAACGCAGCTACCTTTCAATGCATATATTTGAAATCAATTAATTTCTACACAACATAAATAACCACAAGTTTCAGCGTACTTCGGCATTTTCCAATATCAATTGACTTAGTCTATTTAAATTATTTGAAACCTTATCGCTAGCACCATATATTTTAAATTACAATGTGTGTGTGAATGTACATTTGAATTGTTTGTGCTTTTGTGTACACCACGATAAATTGTTTATACACTTTAATATACATACGTACATACAACAAATACTGTATGCATGTATAGTGTATTGCAACAGTCATTGACTTGCGATAATCAAATACTTTACCACTCAAGTTTTATATAAAGCTATGAAATATATGTACGCCTCATATACAATAAACATGGATATTATATATATAAAAATGTATATTATACATACATATATCTATAACATATACCAAGTACGAAGTCTCTCGTATTGTTGTTGTATTGTTGCATAATTTTCTCTAGAAAAAAAAAACCGTAATAATATATGACATTTAGACTTCAATCGGAAACGGCACTTGCTTGGATTCTCGAAATTTTTAGAATTTTTATATCGTATATCAATGTATATTAAATAAGTTACACGAGCTTTATGTGTTAAAAATTCGTCTATGATTGTTTTCAAAACTAAAAAAAAAAATTTTTTTTCGCAAAAAAAGTTTTCGTTAAGTTCTGTAATTTTTTATTATTAATTAACACTTTCTTTTGCTTCTTGTTGAAACTTACCGCTTTGCATATTTTAAATTTAGTAAAACACCTGCAGTTTCTTGGCAATTCATGCATTGTTGTATATTATACAATTTATTTTCATATATATATGTATATGTCACAGTATTTTATGCGTCACAAAAAAAAATTGCTGCACTAGTTTTTATTAGCAATTTTTTAAATTTTTTATTCATTAATTTGCAAAAATTATGGACATCCATTTGCACAAATTCATACAATGGCATAACACAAATAATATGAAATCAATCGTTTTCTTTATCAATTTTCGTTTATTTTCCATCTTCTAAATAATACTAGTAATAACAAGTTCTTATATGTATGTCGAATTTTCCCATTTTTGTTTTTATCATAACTGTGTGCTTTGTACATTTTCCAATTTCAACATGCTTTTCTAGCTTTTATATACCTAATTAATTATACACACGTATGTATGTATTATATTTATTATGCTCTATTATAATTAGTAGTGTATATAGGCATGCCTAGAATTGGTTGCCAGCTTAAACGCTGTGCTTATTGATTCTGTTGCTTCACATTGTTGCTTTTTGCATATACATATACTCTATACTATGTATATGTATATATATTTCGTTTATTATATTATATTTTTTAATTCCTTTTTTTCAATTGCATAACGCAATTAAAACGGCTTAAATAAAAATATATATACGTAAGAATTAGTTGACAATTCGCACTGAGGTTAATACCCTTCCGCTCAGGTTGCATTGTACGCTTAAAAAATTCCTCTTTCACATGCGTGAAACGCTTTTCGATTTGAGCACTTCGCAATATATATCAAAATATAGCTGAAAAAGAAGGCGCGTTAAGTGAAATTCTAAAAAGAAAATTATACATATTTGTGTCTATGCCTAAGAGCATTAATAACTAACTGATTATATAGACATATGTTATTATTGTACATATTTATATACAATACATCAAACATCGTTTGTAACGAGTTAACAGTGTTTTTTTTTTATTGTTTCATCGAATCGAAAATATTTACACATTAACGTATATAGAGTTTTGAGTTGATTTGTAAACAATACTATATTTTCGCTTCACAATCACATTCACTCTCGTTTACTACATATTTTACATATTTTAGTATGCCTAGCACTATACACATATGTAAGTTTCAAGTACATTACCGATTATAAAGGATTTTATGCGAGTTGTATGAATTTCCACCAAAGCTCGCTTTTCTAATCTCTTACACATTTTACAAATTGCATTGTCTTACAAATTCAAATTTATATATGTATGTATATAATAACGCAGAAGTTTTCATAACAACAAATAATAATTGTTTAACATTTTACGTTTTGCATTCACATTAAAATCTTGCGTACATTTCAGTATATCTACAGTACAATAATAATTTTTTGTTTGCTTGTTTGTTTGGTTCGACTTTTTTGGTACATTTTGCTTAGATTACGAACTCTATGCGCTTGTGTGCTTCGAATTATAGATCTTTACTTATAACCCAACTCTTTAGCTATATTGCGAGCTTATTGTTTCGTTTAGCTATTTTAATTAGTATTATATATAATAAATTATTAATTAGCTAGAAAGCTAGACTTTTAAATTTGTGTGTTTGCGTGTATTGTGTATGTATGTATGCATTTTAAAATTAGTTTAAATATAGAATAAGTTCTGCGATTATTTGTTGTTGTTTTTTTATTACTGTTATAATTGATTTTTCATTTTTTAAGCTTAATAATGGTTAGTTATTTAAAAAAATATCGCTCTGGTTTTTTGTAGTCTTGACAGCGCACACATTCGCAATTGTGTGTGTGTGTGTGTGTTACGCTCCTGTAACACCCATACTTTACTTTATATGGCTAATCTACTACCGCAAAAACAAAAATTTCAACAAAATATTCCAACGCCCAGTGAGCGCTTGGTTGTACGATTTACCACTTTATAACTTCGATTCGGCGCCACTTTTGTTTGCTTCATTTGGAAATCCTCTGTCCGTCTCCTCGTGTTGTGGACTGGGTAGGGTTTTCACAATTTTCGGTACAATCGTTATGGGCTGATCCTCTTCATCCTCCACCTCTTCACCTTGCTCTTCGTCGATTGGTGTGAGCGTATCAATCTGCATTGGTGTTTCATCGGAGGTGGTGCAACGTTTTAGACATGGCGCCATGAAGCTGGTGATCGTGGATAGCGCAAATAAACCGCCCGCCATATAGAATGGCAAATCGTAGCTTTGTGTTGCATCGTAAACAGCGCCGGCTAATGGCGATCCAATGATGGCGGCAAAACCTCTGAATAAAATAAGCAATCCGAAGGCGTTGGTGAGCCTGTCCAGTCCCAATAGATCTACGAGTATAATTGACGTAAGTGAAATGTAACCGGAGATGGCGATACCGAAGAAAATGGACATAGTCACGTAGGCCCCGTAGGTAGAGCAAAGCGGTGTTAATGTAACGGCCACAGTGGAAATGAGTAGACAAACGTTGTTGAGAAACAGTGAATCGACTTTGGGGAAATCGGCCACATACCCGCAAATTACCCTGCCGAATGTGTTTGTTATGCCGATAATTGAGAGTAGAAATGATGCTGAACTATCTTCGATGCCGTCTTTTTTAGCCGCATCCACGAGATACACAAATGGCACGTACAAACCGGCCATGCCGAATATATTGGAGACGCCGATAAGCATAAAAACTGGATCCTTCAATAAGCTGACGTCCAACATTGTATTGAATACGGATTTAATGGAGTCTGGTATGGTGAGACAGGGACAAAGATCGTATTGTCCACGTCCTTTTTCAGCTTCAGCCAACGGATCATGTACACGTACACTTTGCATGCTCTTTTCATATTTGGTTAACGATAGTACGGAGTTACGATAATTCGTGAGCGATTTTTGCGACTGGTATTGTGGCAGATTTGTCACAGATCCGGAGTAGAAGATGTCTTTACGTGACATTGGACGTACCATTTTGCCACTGGACTGACTTTGTGAGAGCGATATTTTCGACGATGTAAAACCCATTTCAACACCATTGCTGTCGAGATCGCCGCGCGATGATGCACGTATGGCGGCTAAGGATGGCTGGAAACGTTCGCTGGCTGACGTCTTGCGTACCCGATTAAAAGAAGGCACCGAACCATTCTTTGGAAGACTTTGATGGTCTGCCATAAAGGCGGGCTGTGAGGCATTGCGTGTCATTGCATCCACAGAGTTGTAAGGACTGGTCTCGGTTTCCGAATTACGATGTGAACGCCTACCGCTACGCTTCACATCCAATTGACCATTGCTATCGACAGTGGGTGGACTTTGTGCGCCAGTTTGATATTCGACCACTTTTGCTTCGGTTATAGTTGGTAGTGTTGAGACGGGATGTAATGAACCCTGTTGGGCGAGCAATTCCAAATTGAGACTAGAGTGCACACCGGGATCGGCATTGAGTGGCATCTTCAGTTTACGCTCCATGGTGCCGTCCGGCAGCTGTACCATGAAATGTGAACCAGCAATTGAACCACGTTCCAATTGCAATTGCTTCTCCTCGTACATACGCTGCATGAGCGGTTTAACCTTCTTCTTTTTGGGGTAGGTGAGTGGACGCATCATAGCGCCAAATATGGCACAATTCAAAATGAGACCCGCGAAGATGAGTAGTGCATTCTTCCAGCCATACAACTGCAACAAATACGTAGCTAATGGCGCGAAGGCGAACGTGCCGAAACCGGAGCCACATACAGCAATACCAGTGGCCAGTGAGCGTTTAGTTTCAAAATAATAACCGACAGCCACAACTGCAGGCAGGTAAATCATACCGAAGCCGAAACCGCCGATTACACCATATGTTAGCATCAGCATATTAATGGACGTGCTCATCGTGCTTAGTACGAATGCAATACAACCCACAACGCTACCCGCAATGCATACTGCACGACAACCATATTTATTCGCTAACGCGGACACAATCGGACCAGCGCTCAGATAAACACCACTAAGTAAGCTGCCTACCCAGGCCACCTTGCCTTTGCCTTCACCAAAGTAATCGACGAATTCACCAAGGAATATACCGAACGTGTACGCGATACCGTCCACAATCATGTTGCACATAAACGACGCAAAGCAGATGACCCAACCGTAACCGCCGTCTGGCGGTGGTGGCAGCTCGCCATATTCGCTGAGATCATCCTCATCGTCCGGACTGACGGTGCCTTCCTGCAGGTCGGCGGTAAGGCGCGCGGCTTCTTCACATGCAACCTCACTGTCTGTACGATCGAATTTACGTAGACGCGTGCCGGAACCCAGCGCATTTGTATCACCCATAATTTTATTTTTAATACTAGTTTTTCTTATTGTTATAGAGTTAGAGGTTAGGTGTCGTATTCTAACGAAGTTAGGTAGCTGTTAGGTGTTTTTTTATTTCAACTTAATAACTTCACTTATGCTATTTCTTTTATGTTTTTAGTGTCCCTTTTAAGTATTTTATTTCACTTTGTAGCCGTGGTTGCACTTCAAAAGTTATTTATCTTGTTCGCTTGCGGCTTGCCGTTCTTCACCACTCGTAACATAAATTTTGGTTTGCTGCCTTTATTCTTGTCAACTACCCTACACGCTTTTTCGTCCCTTTCTCCTTTTACTTTGACTTTCACTTTTTTCTCTACCACGTACGGTTATAGTGCGAATATTTTTGTTGTTTTATATTAATGTGCGTATTTTTTTATTTTTTATTATTTTAACTTAATGTTTTATTTTAATTCTTATTGTAAGTGCGCTCGAGAACTTGCGACCACCGCGATTATTGATGGTCAATTGTCGCGGTTCAGCAAAGTTCAATATTAATTTAAGAATTTCTTCCTTTTGGATTTCGGCACTGTTTAAGCTTTATCTTCGCACAGACTGTTGTGCTAACTGCTGACGGTTGGCTGACTCGTCGCTGTCACACATTAACTCTGCACGTTTGTTCGCTCGCGCTGTTAGTTACTTGGTTGGCTTGTCGGTCGGTTGATGGGTGGTAGGCCGCTACAACACTAACACTATGCTCTCTGCTCTCCGTGTATACTATTGGCAATGATGACTACGGCAAAAACGCGCGGCACAACTGCCGTGTGCTCTGATGATGAGTGTGTGTCTCAGTGGCAATAGTAGTCGCTGTAATTCGCCTTCAAGGGTGACTGAGCGGCGAGCGTAATGCGAGCGACGAATGTATGACAGTTTCGTTGTAGAATGTGCGCTCAGCAATTCGCTCTTGCTTGTTAGTTTCACGCGGCGTGAGTGTGAGAGCGCGTTTAGCTATAAATTTTTGTTGCTATTGATATTATTTATTTGATAATTTCTTGATATTCTTTTGCACTTTGTTTTGTTGACGTTATCGAAAGGAATGACACTTTTTGTTGTGTGTGTTTTGTTTTATTTCAATGATGTTTTTGTTTTATACGCTTTGGCTATATGTTCGTATGTTGGTTTTGTTATGCGCTGCAGTTACTATGCAATGCACTTGAGCAATTTATTTGTATTTATTAAATTGTTTGTGCTACCGGAGTAGCGTTGCTCAACGAGAATTTTCAACAATTCAGGTAACACTAAACTGTTTAATTTTTCTTATCTTTATTGTTCTCTATTTTTAAATATATATGTATATACACATGTTTTGTATAAATTTACAAAGCAAAGCTAAAGAAAAAAGCGCGTTTTCAATTAAAGTGTCATTTATGTGGCCAAAAATTTATAATGAAATATATTCAAAAAATTGTTTTTACTTGCTACTTTGTAAAATCACGTAAATTTGAGTTGAATATTCAGCGAGTAACGCAATTGGCTTGTGTACCGTTATACCTAAAATTTCATTTATTTTGAACTTTTAGTTTTTCGCTTTTAAATGAAATCAGTGCTTTTTGCTGCGTAGTAAATTGTAATATTGCTTGTATTTTAATAAATATATTCTCCAAGCGTTTTAACGCCTATAATATATAGCTTATTTTCTACACGCTTTTGTTTATACGCATATATGGGTGGGTGTGTACATGATCATTTTCTTTGTTACACTTTGCCGCTTTTCCTCAAAAGCGCTTTTTTTTTTAGAACTTTTTCCTATTATTTGCTCTCCAATATGCAGCACCAGCTGTAATTTGCTGCTCTGTGGTCTTCTTCTTGTTTTTTTTTTGATTATATGTAACTTTTTGAGTATTTATTTTTCATTTATCCACGCTTTTGATTCTGCTCAGCTGCTTGCGCGCTGCTAGTTGTGTTTATAATATGCGCTTTGTTATTGTTTTTCTTATTATTGAAATACTTAAACACAGGGGCGTATCTGCACTTTTGCCGTTGTTGTTTTTTGTTTCGCATATATTATTTTCTAATTTTTTGTTTTAACTTTTGTCTCTTTTTAATTTTGTTGTTTTTGTTTGCTATTTTTGTTATTTTCCTCTTCAATTTGCATTGACAGCAAATGAAAATGCACGGAACCGTTAACACTCTTTACCTTTGGCTTTTGTGCATTCAACGTGTTGGTATTTTTTTTCTCTTTGCTGCAATAAAATATACTGTCTTCCTTTCAACCTTGCTCTTCAACTGCTTGAGTTTTGTACTTGCAACGTGTTAAGGATTTTCAATAGAAATTTTAGTTCAAGTTTAAATGCGTAAAGCGACGAAAATGTTATTGTTGTTGTGGTTCTAGGTGTTGTACCAATGCTATTCTTTATTATTTTTTATTTCAGTGCTTGAGTTGTGGACGTGTCTTGTTGGTTTGCAGGTGTGCTAGTTAGTTAAAATTCGTCAAAATGTATTGCATTTACATGCATACATAAATAGCATCACATTAGAAATTTGCAAAATGCATTAATTTGTATTTTTCCTTTTGCCTTCCGCTGCCTTTTCTCGTTATATGCACTTTAATAGCTCATTTTCCGCGTGTCGACTACAGTGTGTTAGCGTTTAGCACCGTTTTGTTTTTGTGGTATTTTGCTATTTTTCGATTTTCCGTTTTGTTCGACGCGACCGCAAAGTTTCCGTTTTGCCTTTTGACAATGAATATTTAATTTTTATTTATTTTTGTTTTATACAACCATATTACATTATACAAATGTGTGTTAGCCGAGCGAATGCTCCGTTTCGTTCGACGCGTGATCGATAAATGTTTTCAACAAAAACAACAAATCCACGAGCTTGTTACAAAGAACGTTGTCGCCACAGTCACAGCTACGCCGCTGCTGCGTCTACGCTCGCTGCCACCGTCAACGCCAACGCCGCTGACACTACTGGTACACTGTTGCTATTGTTATTGCCTTGGCTATTACAAGTAGTTTGGTATAGCAGCTAGTCGCAACGTTGCTGTCGTCGTTGTCGTTACTGTTGACTCAGTCGTCGCTGATGTTGTTAGAGTTATTGCTTGCCTAACAGCTCCAAGAGTGCCTCCAACAAACAACACCACCGTACGTCAATTGAATTTCAGTTGAATTTTTATTATATTTCTCGTAGTTTTTATTATTATATTTTTATTGTTTTATTTAACGCTGACAATTTAAATTTATTATACGAATATTCTATAAAATATTTTTTATATGATTTTCCACAGCGCAGTTTGGCCTGTACAAGTTCGTTTGTGAACGTCGCCGTCAACGCCGCTGGCGTCTTGCGACTCTTCTTTTTTTTACCGATCATACGCAAGCAATATTTATATTTGCCTGCTTTTCCGTCAACTGTAGCTGGATAAAAATATTATTTTAAAAGAAAATATGAATTTTGCTTTAGCTAATTGTGGTCCAACAGTGTTACACTGCACCACTAGAGGAAAGCACAATTCGCACGGTTGTTTCGCTGCCGACTGCCAACTGACATGGCTGTAAAACTTGCCAATGCATACAGCTACACAACTGAACAACGAAAATGTTCTATGCAAACTGTTATACGAATTTGAAGCGAAGATGATTTGTATCGACGGCAACGGTGGTGGTGGAGGTGCAGGGTACGCATACGTAGTGTTGTACCACCAGCAGCTAAACAAGGCGGTGTGTGTACACATGTCTATGGGAATGCTTTGTATTTTACCGCCGTCTTTGTTGCTGCAACGCGCTACAATCCAATATACATACATACATGTGTGTGTATGTGTATATATGCTACAGCCGTTTCCGCGCTCACCCTATAGAGCATATTAGAGCAGGCAAGCGCAGTGCGCGCACCGTCGCGCTCCCAACCAACGAGCGGACAGTTTTCGCCGCCTCTCTGCTGGCGCTACTCGCTCATTCATCAACAATGCATTGCCGCTGCTGCCGGGAAGGCGCGCTCATTGTTAGATATACAAACAAGTTGTTATGTTTGCATTCAAGTTTATTTAGTTTTTGTTTGACTGCTTGCTTCGCTTCCACATTACTTTGCTTTGTTTTGCAAAAAGCTAATTTTCGCTGAGCGTACAATTTCTGACAATTCAGCGTGCAATAACAATAAAACGTGTTAGCTTCTGTCACCTGGTCTTCGGCAGATTTTGTGTTGTAAAAGTGGTGTGATTTCAATAGAAACTCTGAGAGAGCCAGAGCGTTTGCTGCCAACTCATGCTTGGAAATGCGTCAACAAATATGCCTCGCCGTCTGTTAGCAACCGAAAACTCAAACAACAGCAACAACAACAAGCATAGGTGACGAAGTCTTTGCTGTCAAAAGCAACAAAATGTTGAGCCATGCAACCATTCATACCCGGCATTATGCTTCGCCAGCAGACAGCTCGAGCTTGCGTGTGTGTGTGTTTGGGCAGCCACTTCCTCGAGTGTCGTCGCATTGCATCGCCATAAGTTAAGTCTATGCTTTATATTCCATTAGCTGCAGCTTTAATTTACTTACGTTGAGGCGTTTTTTTCTTTCTCTGCATTCTGCGAAGCAAGGGTTGTTTTCTTCGTTCATTCATGCATTCAGTTGTGCGGAAAGTAAAAACCGAGAAGACATTGTTGCCATGCATAGGCAAACTATATGTAAAAATGTTTATATTTTACTATGTGTGTATGTGTGTGCTTTTTTGCATATGTATGTATTTTTAATTGTCGGCCTGCTTGCTCAGCTGTTTTGTTTCAGCCATTTTTGATGATGGTTTAGTGCATAGAGCAGTGTCAGCAGGTGACCGACCATGTGCAACATTGCCATATTTGTATGTACCATTTGCTAGTTATCGAATTTTATCAAATTGCTAATACACTTTCCCTTTATTTTTATCACTGTTGCATGGCAACGCTTACGTAGATTAATACCGTTTCACATGTTTGCTGTACTCACAATTGTGCTGACTTTCATTGAACACGTGCTGATGGAGGTAACCAACCCAGCCCCATATAGGTTGCAAAGTGTCCTCTCGGAAATTTATTCGATAATTAAATTCTTTGTCGACTTTTTATTTTTATTTTTGCTGGGAGTAGAGATAATTTTTCGAATTTTTATCTTTCAAGCTTTACTTAACATATATTTGAGAGTAAAAAAATAAATTGCGCTTAACATTTTGATACCATATGGCAGCTACTGAGCTAATCTTCGGTAGAACCTTTTTCAAGAAGTAATTTACGGCAATGAATAATGTTTTTTTAAAATCCTAACGTGTACTTTACGTCAAAATAATTATATTTATGTGACAGCTACTACAAAGTCATCCTGTCAAATTCAATGCAGGAGAATATGTAGATATCTCATTAAAGTATTGCTATTTAATCTCCATAATTTTATGCCAGCTTACTTGATTTATACCAGTTGTATGTTGGATTAGCTATTCGTCTAGGCTTGGAAAATCAAAGACAGCTATTGTCAAACTAATAACGGAAATAATCTATCGTTTTCGATAAAGTGAAGTAACTGCTATTAGAGATGAAAAGCTCAAACTACCTCGTAAGAAACTCCTAAGCTAACACCGTTACGTGCAATCAATATATGAGCTTAAATAAATTTCGTCCTCTTGATCTATTGAAAAGTCAGTGCGTTTTTAATGAAAACAAATTAAAAACGTTAGCTTCGCTTGCACTGAAGTCATACTACCCTTTATAAAGGAAAATGTTTCTACACAAGAACTTGATTTTCATCGCTTGGTTTGTATGGCAGCTATATGCTATAGTAGTCCGAAGCAGCTTCTTTGAGAGAAAAGGCCGTTTGCGAAATTTCTAGTTCGAATATGTACAGACAGACGGATATTGCTAAATCAACTGAGCTCGTCACGCTAATCATTCTAAATTCATATTTACTTCAAATAGTCCGTGCACTCATTACCCAAATACTACTTCTTAACTAGTTTAGGTGCACTACTTGAAAGTTTCGTCCGCAGGGCAATGTGTATGACATGCGATTTCGTATTTTTTTCTGTCTGTCTGTCGTCATGGCATATTGAATATTGCTGACCTATAAATTTTAACGCCCTCATAGTGGACGCAATACATGGCTCGTACAGCAATTTACTGTTTCTTGACAACAAAATCCGTAAAAACGTCACAGAACGCCGGCAATCAGCGGTTTGCACGCATGACACTTTTATACTCTCACACACATTCTTATTTATAACAGTTTTATATACATATGTACTTCTAATTATTGTCGGATGACTGAAGGATGCCTCGGTCATGTTGAGAGCTCATTCGTTTATAGCTTTTATTGTTTCATTTGCTGTAATTATAATCCTTTTATTTTTGCATACACCTTTTTATGGCGAATTAATTTACATACGTACACACATACAAACGCGTGTGCACGGGCTTTTGTTCTGGCGAGTATTTGCATATCGTTGCTTTGTCTGTGTTCAAAATGGTTGTGCAGTCGTGCGAATGTTTCTATGCACATGTGTAACAACGAGATGGGAATATTCTCGTATAAACACACACCCCTCTCCTGTACATCGCTCGGTACTATTGACATGCAACGCCGACATATGTATGTATGTATGTGCACCTCGCCGATTCACATATCGTTTTAAGCGTATAAAAATCTACATACTATGTACATACATATATATGTACCTGGTATAACAGTAGAAGATACGAGTATACCAGTATTGCATCGTCACGTTCGCCACCTTTAAACCTAATATACAGTGTACTCAAGTGCATATAAACGGACACATACAGTTATAGACAATTCTACATGGGTCAAAAAGAAAGGAAAATCAAGCCAAAGTCAAAGCAAGAACAAAATACACACATTTACATAGCCTAAGGGGGATTGTCTGACTGCCCTAGTCATTCGGTCAATGTCACTCACACATATACATATACACATGCACATAAATAATAACGAAAACATTTTTTTATATTTAACATGTTGCGCTCTTTAAACCCCCGAGCTAGGAAGTGGCTTAATCCCATTCAGACCGGATAGTCGTTTGTCGGTTCGGTCGTTAACTGTTAAAACTAAAATTTTGCTGTCCTAATTTATTTTGAGTTATTTTAATTGTATCGACATGATTTCATCAGCAACAACACCAACAACAACAAAAATAGCGCATTCGTCTTTTGTGTGGACATTCTTCCTTGTGTTTGCGAAATGTGAGCTTTGGATTCTCTTCGATCGGCATTTTATTTGCCTTAGTCATGGTTATTAAAAGCGAAAATGGCGTGTCTTAACTGTACATACAAGTAATATGTATATAAATATTTATATGCATATATGTACATATGTATTTGGTGATACATCTGCACTCGAACCCACACAGTATTTATTATTATGAGCGTTTGACATTAAAGCGACTAGAACAGTGCGTGCTCTGCTGTCAAAAATGACGTCATAATCTTTGTTTATAGAAAGATGAAGATAGAGAAGTTTTCACGGTTGCTGTGAGACAATTGTTGTCAAAAATTTCAGGCATTTTTTTATACCAATGATAACGTTTGGCTCTAATTAAAAAAATACAGCGAATTAAGAACTCTCAAGACCCAGAAAGAAACGTTATTTAAAATTTCAATTCGGTCTTAAAGCCTTAGTCAAGGATTAAAACATCGCTATGGTTAACTACTTATCGCAAAAATCGGTCAATCTGGAGATTTAATATTAAAATTCGTAGAGACATTTTTATGATAACAGCATGCTTTTGTGTCAACAAAGCCGATTTTAACCGGGTCAATCCCTCCCCTAATCCTCCTTTACTTAATATAGGGATTGTCAAACATCAATAAGAGAACTCATATATACATACATATGTACATAAGATATACAGTCAATATATAAGTTATCTTAATGAAACTCAGAGAGCATATTTTTCTGTTAATATGTTTTATTGCTTCTACTAAATTCCATATACCTAATATAAGAATTTAAAATTTACGGTTGGCTCTATGTCGTATACATCGATCAATATGTAAGATATCTTAGGAAAATTAAGTAAACGTATAATATTAGATAAACTATAGCTAAATGCTTAAAATTTGTGAAATCGCCCAACGAATTACGCTACGCTCCTTATGTAAATCAGTATGTGTGTTATCGTCAAAAAATTAATTAAACTTGTTAACTTTGTTGTTGCTTTTACATGTTAGTGAGCTGAGAAAAGACGAATCGAAGACAGCAAGTTTTTATTTATTCGTTGAATTGTGTGATTATAACAGTTATTTTTCAGCTGAAATATACATATGTATATATGTATATATTCTTGTTTGCTAAAATTCCGTAATGCATTCTGAAGCAGTAGCAACAAGTCCTAAGTGTCTGCATTTTCGTACTAGGATCGGTTGTCCAAGTGTGCTTGTGTGTGTGTCTAACAAAATTGTCACATTGCAAATCTTCTGAAAACGCCTCATCAGAAGCCACTTTGCCGTTTTAGCGGCGTTTCGCAACGCAAACTCATAATTTATATAAATGCTTGAAAGGACTCCACACCAAAGAGTGCACGTTTAACCTT